GTTCGTCGTGTTAGAGGTGCTGAGGGAGATCGCAGAGGCCGCGTGACAGTGTTGAAAAGGGTGTGACGGCGCTGCGCACGGCGTTGTGACACGCACGTGCATGGCACTCCGTGGACGTGCGTTGTAAGATACAAGAACACGTACACAAGACGTTCACACACACACACACACACCACACACACACACACACACACACACACACACACACACACACACACACACACACACACACACACACACACACACACACACACTCCCTCCCTCCCTACAGTTCGCACACACTACGCACGTACACACGCCCAAGCAGGCAGCCTGTGGCCTCGTCTGCAGACCCAGAAAACAACCTTGAACTGAGAATCCACGCCTTAGCTCTCCCGTATCTCATCAACTCACGAGCATTGTGCCTCTCCCGCCCCCCCACCCCCCGCCCTTGCTACACCCCCCCCCCACTTGCCTCCCTCCAACCTCATCTTGCTTCCTTTTTGCTCCCCTTGGCCTCCTTTGCCATTTCTTGCTTCCCTCCTGGCCCCTTTTAGCCTCCTTCCGTTCCCCCTTCTTTGCCTCCTCTCCCCTTGCCTCTCCTGCCCTCTTTCCTCCTCCTTTTTCCCCCCGTAGCCTCCCCCCCTTAGCCTCCTTCTCCCCCTCTTCCTCCTCCCCTTTCCCCTTTTCCCCCCTTTGCCTCCTTCTCCCCCCCTTAACCTCCTTCTCTCCTCCCCTTAGCCTCCTCCCTCTTCTCCCCCTAACCTCCTCCTCCCCCTAGCCTTCTCTCCTCCCCTTTGCCTCCCTCCCCCCTCCCCCTCCCTCCCTCCCCCCACCCTCCCCTCCCCCTCCTCTCCCCCTCCTCCCCCTTCCCTCCCCGCGTCACTCAAACTCGCCCCCAATAACACATGCAGTGAGCAACGGACGAACCACGTGAGCGAGTGAACGTACAGTGAAGTGAGAAGTAAAAAGCTGTGATGTAACGGCATCTGTTGAGTGATTAAGACGCCGGCAATTTATTAATTAAGTCACGATTGGTTGTGTAATTAAGACAAGACGTGATTAGCGATTGGCATATAGCGAGGTGACGGACTCGATTGGGGGCGGGGGGGGGGAAACACGTGGTGGTTTTTTTCTTTAAGGTCGAAAGTCGCGTGGAGAGAGAATGGCGGTGGCGGCCTTATTTGGAAACCGAAGTGACACCTTGGCTGGGAGAGGTGGGAGCTGGGTGAATGCGTGCGTTCATTTCATTTCATTCATTTATTCCTCTTCATTCCACTGTCCATCTATCCTTCCTTCCATTCTCTCCTTCCATCAGTCCATCCTTCCTTCTTTCCCTCCTTCCCTCCTCTCCTTTCAACCATCCATCCTCCCTTCTATCTATCCATCCATCCATCCTTCCTTCCCTCCTCTCCTTCTAACCATCCTTCCATCCATCTATCCATCTATCCGTCCATCCCATCCATCCATCCATCCATAATACAATCACTTTGTAGACCCGTTAAACATACAGCAATCCTTACAATTATTAAACAAATTCAAACAAGCAGCCACATATATTATCAGTCAGCATTATACTGTCAGTCGTTGCAAGTGATATGTTATCTGCATGTCTGGGAGATAGTGGCGTGCCTCTTCCGAATTTTTATCTCTCTTATATACGATTTCTTTTCGCTGTGTTGTTATCAGTGCTGTTGCGTCTATCTTGCCAATAGGTGGTTCTTATCAGTTGTTATTTTCCAAGGTCGGAATGCTGTTTTCATGTTGCTTTTGTTGCTGTTGCTGCTGCTGCTGTTGCAATCGTAACTGATTACGTCAGGACCTCTTCCATGTTGCATGATTTTAATGTTGTTATTGGCCTATAAATGCAATTAACATCTGGGTCATGGTGAGAAAATGTGGTAATGATAATATCCATTTTTGATGTGCATTTCGTTCGTGCGAGTGGAGTGATCTTTTATGTATGTGTTTCACATATAAACATGTATGTATGGTGTGTGTGGGATATATATAATATATATATATTATATATACTAATATTATGTATATATGTATATAATGTATATATGTATAGTATGTTAGTGTTAGTGTATAGTTGTATATGTATATAGATAGAGTAGATAGAAGGTAGATAGATTAAGAGAGGGGTGTATAGATAAGTAGAGTAGATAGATAGAATTAGGATAGATAGATGGAGAGGTAGAATAGGATAGAGTCAGATTAGAGATATTGGGTAGAGTATGCATGTTAATATTATTATATAAGTATATATATATAATATATATATATTATAGGTGACCTATGCATGTAATATATATTAGGGTTTATGTATGATATATATTATATTATATATATTATATTATATAGTATATATTGCGTGTATCATTTATATATATATATAATATATATATATATATATATATATTAATATAGATATATATATACATATATATATCTATATGGTATATATATATATATATATATATATATATATATATACTATATATATATATACTAATAT